TGCTAACATATTTGTAGAAACCCTTCTTCTTACCTTTCATGTCCCTTGCTAGCTGCAACTCCAGTTGCACTTTGGCTTTCCTGACTTCATCCCTGCATGCCCAAGCAATATTCTTATACTCCTCCCTAGTCATCAGTCCAAGCTTCCACTTCTTATAAGCTTCCTTTTTGGTGTTTAAGCTCACTGAAGAGTTCTGCTACATCAAGCTGGTTGCCTGCCATATTTGTTATTCTTCCTGTGCATCAGCATAGTTTATTCCTGCACCCTCAGTAAAGTCTCTTTAAAAGACAACGAACTTGAGCACCATCCAACAGTTCAGATCTATCCTCTTTGGAACCACCCTTCAGGTAGTTTAAGGTTGCTATTAAATCCCCTCCCAGTCTTCTCTTCTCCAGACTAAATAAACCCAGTTCCTTCATCCTCTCCTCAGAGGTCCTGTGACCCAGTCCCCTCACCATTTTTGTTGTCCTCCGCTGGACTCTCTCTGATTTGTTCACATCCTTTCTGTAGTGGTTTTATTGATGCTTATTACAAAAACTGTAATTGATGCTTATTACAAAAACATTTTATTGATTCTTATTACAAAAACTTAAGAGTACACCAGTGGAATTTGCTGAAGACACAAACCATGAAGACACGTATTCAATATAGAGCAGGATCACAATAACATACAAGACTAATGGGATGTTTTTAAGGATTGGAGTAAGAGAAATGGGATGAACTCCCACAACAGAAAATGCAAAGCCATGCACTTAAGAACTGACAAGAATTTCTGCTATAGACCAGAAATTATCATTTGGAAACAACTGAGGAAAGGACTTGGGTTTACTAGTTGATCATAGGATGAGTATAAACTGCCAGTGTCATGCAATCATGAAAAGATGAATGTGATCTTTGGACATATCAGTCGAGTGCCTCAGCGGTTGGTCATGTGGCTGATTTTGTTCAATATCTTATCAATGGCCTGAAAGATGAGATTTACTGCATTTTCATTTGTCTTGAAAATCTGATCTCCTGTCGAAGGAAGGTATCGGCTTGCTGTGGTATGATCTACCTTTGGTAAACTCATGATTCATTTTAACCTGTTTTCCAGTGACCTCCATGTCTGATTATTTTCTTTAGAATTTCTCCTAAAGCCTTAAAGATTCAGCACAAGTGAATGGGCCTGGAGTTGTCTTGATCACTTTCTGGCAGCAAATTTAGCATCTATATTTCACATTAACGGATCATATGGTAGACTTGATACATTAGCCAAAAGTACTTGTACCTGGACCTGTGCTTTCATTTGATTGGGCATCTATGAACCAACACCCACCCACCCCCCACCCCCCCCCGGCACAACATCAATAGTACAATGCACCTGTAAGCTTTCCTTGCAAATTAGGTCAGTCGTAACTTGGATAAAAGTGCCATCTGTTGATATACTTAGACTATTGTATGTAGGGCATGACTTAACTCATGGGTGTAAAAGCCCACCCTGCAGTACACAAGCATGTACTAGTATGCCATGCCCAACTTCACACCGCAGTTTAAAATAAAAGGGTATGCCTCTTCATAGCAGTCACTTCTTATGCTGTGCACACAGAGATGAAAACTCTCCAGTTGAAATGTAGAAGGACATATATAAGTCCTCATCAAGTTACAATTGCAGAAGAGAAGATGAGTAGAACTGAATTATAAGGCTTAATTGAGTAAGATGTATATTAAAAGAAATAAAGAAGGATCAGTCTCAACTGTTGAATTTTCATGCCCTAACTTCTACTTCCCCTGAAGTTAATTGTGAAAGCTGGTATTTCTGTCAATGCAGGGTGGTGGCTAGTGTTCAAACTTTTAGTCATTGTGCTTAAGAGGAAAGAAAAGTGTGTTAGTTTCAACTGTTGGCTAAACAGAATGACGTTTAAACTAATATCCTATATTAACATATGGGATGAAATAATCACCATCCAGTGCAGGGTGTCAAGGGCCTTCAGGAAGGCAGTAGCCCTTGACTTCAAGAGGGCCAACTTGAGTTGAGGAGATTGGTAGGAGAGGCACTGGGGTCCTGGAGGGTAGGGGAATTGGGTGTCCCAGATGAGTAGTCGTTCCTTAAGGAGACTATCCTCCGAGCCCAAGGGGTGACAGTCCCAACGAGAATCAAAGGGGGCAAGAGTGCTCAACAGCCCCCGTAGCTCACCAAAGACATTCAGGAATGCATGAAAGCCAAAGGCATACATCCAGTGGAAGGGAGGGGCTATCGCCAAAGAGGAGTACACCTCCATCGCTCGGGTCTGTAGGGGGGCTGTTAGGAAAGCTAAGGCAGAGATGGAACTAGGGCTAGCATCAAGGACAACAAAAAGTCCTTTTTTAAATACGCAGGCAGTATGAAGAAGGCACTGGATAACATGGGTCCCCTGCAGGATATGCTAGGCAATCTGCTGGTTGCACTAGAGGAAAAGGCAGACCTTTTAAACAATTTCTTTGCCTCCATTTTTTTGTGCAGGGACTGGGACTCCCCCACCAAGATCCAGGATGGGCTCAGGAGAGACTCCGCCAGGCCTAGGGTCAGGGAGGACCGAGTTAGGGAACTTCTGGGGGGGCTGGACGTGTTCAGGTCAGCAGGTCCGATGCCCTCCACCCCAGGGTGCTGAGGGAATTGGTAGGGGTTATCAAGGGGCCCCTGGCATGGTTTTACGAGCACTCGCGGTGCTCTCACCAGGTGACAGATGACTGGAAGAAGGCCAACGTCCTCCCCATTTTCAAAAAAGGGAGGAAGGACCCAGGCAACTATAGGCCCGTTAGTCTTACTTCAATCCTGGGGAAGCTCTTTGAGAAGATTATCCAGGAGCACATCTGAGAAGAACCAGCAGGGGGGATGATGCTCAGGGGCAACCAGCATGGGTTCATTAGGGGCAGGTCGTGTCAGACCAACCTGATTGCCTTCTGCGATCAGTTCACAAAGTCATTGGACACGGGTGTTGCGGTGGATGTAGTCTTTCTGGACTTCAGGATGGCCTTCGACACTGTCTCCCACCCCATTCTCATTAAAAAGCTAGGTGACTGTGGCATTGATGCCTACACAGTCAGATGGGTTGCAAATTGGCTGAGGGGCTGCGCCCAGAGAGTGGTGGTGGACGGGTCATATTTGACCTGGAGGGATGTGGGCAGTGGAGTCCCCCGTGGCTTGGTCCTTGGGCCCACACTGTTCAATTTCTTTTTTACTGACTTGGACAAGGGGGTGAAAAGCACTGTGTTCAAGTTCGCTGACAACACCAAGATTTGGGGTGAGGTGGGCACGCTAGAAACGAGGGACAGGATACAGCTGGACCTGGACAGGTTACAGGGGTGGGCGAATGAGAATAGGATGGGATTCAATACTGACAAGCACAGGGTAAACAGAATCAGAATGTTTACCACCAAAGAAGTGCATAACTGAATATCTACCTTTATAAAGCTTCAGATAGTCTAGGACAGGGGTGGACAGATATTTCAGCTGGAGGACCACTTAATGAGTTTTGGGGAGATGTCGACGGCTGCTCGAGGGCTGGATCCCCCCATCTCCATGGTGCACAGCCCCTGCTGGCAGCAGCATTAAGCAGTGGACCCTCGGCATGCTCTTGGCCCGCACAAGTGCAGTCGCCCAGTGGTGCATGGCTCCAGCAAGTTTTTGGAGCTGCACATTGGCAGCAAGGAGCAGAGCCAGGCCAGCCTACCTCTATCACACAGGGCTCATGTGCAGCTCCTGGGACTTGGGTGCTGCTGGGGGAAGCCCCACGTGATGGAGCCAGCAGTCTGCCCCTGCTTCTTGCCATCATGCTGCTCAGGGAACTCCACCAGGGAGCATGGCTCCCCACCATTTCTGGCAGAGTCCCATGACGTGATGGTAGGGAGCAGGGCCTGGCCACTGGCTCCATCGCGTGGAGCTTTCCTAGCAGTGGCACATGAGTCCTGGGAGCTGCATGCGAGTCCTGCATGATAGAGGTGGGCCAGCCTGGCTTCACTCCTTTTCATCATATGTAGCTCCCAGAACTGGCTGGAGATTTGTGCCGCTGGGTGACTCTGCTGCCGCTGGGTGACTGTGCTCGCGCAGGCCATGAGAAGATCGAGGGCCCGCTGCCGACACCAGTGACAGCAGGGGCTGTGTGCCATGGCGGAAGGTGTATGTGGGGGGGTCCCCCATATACCCCTCCCCACCCACTCTCACACCCCCCACCCACACCATGCTCACCCGAGCTCTGTGCTCCAGGTGCCCTGCTGGGCATGGGCCCCAGGCTCCGTGCTCCTGCCAGCCTCATTCCACGCTCTCCCCCAGCTGCAGCTTCCCTGCCTGCTGCCTGGGGGAAACACTACAGCAGGGACACGAGTAGGAGCCACTGGAGGCTCAGGAAGCCCAGCACATCCCCTGGCAGTGGCAACAGTGGTTCTGCCCAGAAGCTTTGCATGCCAGCTGGGGCTGGGGCCCTCCCATGCAGGGGGCTGGGAGCTGGGCGGCGTACAATTAATTGGTGGGCACCTGTAGGCCGGATGAAATGGCCTGGTGGGCCGGGTCCATCCTGTGGGTTGTATTTTGCTCACCCCTGGTGTAGGATCTCACATACCTGGTAAGTTCAAGGTACTTACTTTTTAAGCATTTTTCTCTTCTGATGTTATAGAAAACAGTAGAAAAGAAATATTTAAATTTTTATCAAGCTTTAAAAGGTGCTGTGTAAATGAGGGGCAGGATTCAGGTGCTTCAAAACCTAGATTAATTCTATTTCCCTCTTATTTTCTTTAACCCATCAGAAATGAACATGGCAGAAATTGATTCCTGTATGTGTAAGAACTGAATCTCAAATGCTGTGCTACCAGCATTCTTGGTTTTCATAATTTATTTCATGGTCATTAGTGAGTGGTGGTTCATGCTTGTTTCTATAAAGCAAGAGCTCAAACTGGAGACCTACACCTATAGAGTAAGAGGTTTAGCTTTAAAAAAGTAATTAATGTAATGTAATTTCAGACTCTTCTTTTCTTTTCCCACCACCAAGGAAAAATATTTATTCCCAAGAAGAAGACTGTACAGTCATATAAAGAAGAGAAAGTGTCTCTCGATCCAGAATTAGAGGAAGCCTTGACAAGTGCCACAGATACAGAATTATGTGACCTTGCAGGTTAGTTTTTATAGGACAGCAGTGTGTGCATATTCATAAGTCTGATCCCACATACTAAATATTACAGCCTGAAGAGCTGGTTATTCTAAATGCTGGCCCATGGTATGTCATGAGGATTGAGCTGAGTTCTTGGCTGTGGGTATAAGATGTTTGAAGAACTATGGGCCAAATAGAACCAAAGAAAGATATTACTCTAGTTGAAGCAGTCTTTTATTTTTTTTTAATTATTAGCTGACTTAAAATGAAAATCATGTGAAGAAGCAATTGATGGTTTGCAGTCAGCTATAAATATTATTTCAAAAATACGCTTCATGTTTCAAACTTAAGTAGCCAGAAACTATACAATTCTTTTTTTTTTTTTTTTTTTTTTATAGCTATCCTGGGAATGCACAACTTGATATCGAACGCTGATTTCTGTGACATAGTCGGAAGTAGCAATGGTGTTGACAAAGAGAGCTTCTCAAGTAAGTAGTTAGTCAAGACTTAAATAAAAATCTGTGTATAGTAAGGAGTATCCAGCCCTGTTGCTACCACTGTATTAACTATTTAATATACTTATTCTTGCTGCAGAAATAGCGTTTAGTTTGCCAGATTTGAATCATGCTTGTTGTGTGATATGCTAGATGAGCTGTGGCAAGAGTGAGAATTAAAAGACAAGAATCCTGTTTTGTGAAAAACTCAGAAATGAATGAACAAACATGTTTTATTTATGATTGAGTTTGACCTTTAAGATATGCTTTGTGACCCAATTTCCATCTGATTTCCCCAAAAATTACAGGGGATGCTATCTAGAATGTAGCAGAGAAACTTTAGAGAGCCTCTGAATTTAAATGTGGCCAAAAGAGGAAAATATACTCTGGGATGCCTTGTTTTTTTTGGAGGAGGGAATGAGCAAAAAATATATTTTAACAGGTAGCTTATGACTGTTTAGACACAGTAGTCAGCATACTTACTATTTGTTAAGGTAATAAATCAGCCATATGATTTATTGTCTTACATTTTAGATATAGTAAAAGGTGAAAAGATTTTGCCAGTTTTTGATGAACCGCCAAATCCCACAAATGTGGAAGAAGCACTGCAGAGGATTAAAGATAATGACTCTCATCTTGTTGAAGTGAATCTGAACAATATAAAGGTAACTGTTTGGACATTTTAATAAATGCACTGTTTTCTAAAAATAATCTTTTAATATCTTCAGTTCAGTACTTGAAGCTAGCCCCTTATAGACTCACTTTTAAATGTAACAGCTTTCTCAATACATTTTGAATTGTATAATCTCAGAGTAGGGACTTGGATTCAAAATCTTTATCCTGTACTGTTTACATGTCATCTATAAGTGTTATTAAGAACATAGTGATACGTGCGTATAGCATATTACTTGATTCGTATACAATCTGATTAAAGTTGACCCTGCATGTAAGTTGACCTCATACTTTCCAAATCAGCTTTAGGAAAAACATTTTTCCCCTAATGTGAATTGACTGGGGAAAGCAGCAAAATAAGGACCTTACCCTTCAGAAAAGCAGACTTCAAGTCACTCAAGGAATTGACAGGCAAGGATCCCCTGGGAGGCCAATCTGAGAGGGAAAGTGGTCCAGGAGAGCTGGTTGTATTTTAAAGAAACCTCCTAAGGGTGCAGAAATAAACCATCCCAACACACAGAAAGACTTGCAAGTATGGAAGAAGACTAGCATGGCTTATTGGGGAACTCTTCAGGGAGCTAAAACACAAAAAGGAAGCTTACAAAAGTGGAAACTTGGACAAACAACTAGGGAGGAGTATAAGAATATTGCTTGGGCATGCCGGGATGAAATCAGGAAGGCAAAAGCGCAATTGGAGTTACAGCTAGCAAGGGATGTGATCAGTAACAAGAAGGGCTTCTACAAGTATGTCAGCAAGAAGAGAAAAATCAGGAAAAGTGCAAGTCCCTTACTAAATGGGGAGGCAACCTAGTGACAGATAATGTGAAATGTCTGAAGTACTCAATGCCTTGTTCACTTCAGTCTTCACAGGCAAGGTCAGTTCCCAGACTACTGCACTGGCAGCACAGTTTGGGGAGAAGGTGAGCAGCCAACAGTGTTGAAAGAACTGATTAGGGACTATTTACAGAAGCTGGATGTGTACAAGTCCATGGGGCTGGATGCAGTGCACTTGAGGGTGCTCAGGAAGTTGGCTGATGTGATTGTAGAGCTGCTGGCCATTATCTGTGAAAATACTTGGTGATTGGGAGAGGTCCAAGATGATTGGAAAAGGGCAAATGTAGTGCCCATCTTCAAGAAAGGGAAGGCGGAGGATCTGGGGAATTACAGGTCAGTTGGCCTTACCTCAGTCCCTGGAAAAATCATGGAGCAGGTCCTCAAGAAATCCATTTCTGAGCACTTGGAGACGGTGATTAGGAAAAGTCAGTATGGATTAATCAAGGGCAAATCATACCTGACTAACCGATTGCCTTCTATGATGAGATGACTGGCTCTGTGGATGTGGGAAGAGCAGTGGACATGATATACCTTGATTTGAGCAAGGTTTTTGATATGGTCTCTCACAGTGTTCTTGCAAACAAGCCAAGGAAGTACAGGTTGGACTGATGGGCTATAAGGTAGATAGAAAACTGTTGGGCTCAAAGGGTAGTAATCAATACATCTGTGTCTAGTTGGCAACCAGTATCAAGTGGACTGCCCTAGCAGTTGGTCTTGCAGCCGGTTTTGTTCAATAGTTTCATTGACCTGGAAGATGGTATTGAGTGCACCCTCAGCAGGTTTGTGGAAGATACCAAGCTGTGGGCAGTAGAGTTGTGTGAAACACCATAGTTTCATTTCGATGTCCGTTTTGCAGTTTCAAAGGGACAGTGTTTTGTTTAGTCATTCATTTCATTTCAGAGCACTGTCCAGTTTCGTTTAGTTGAAACTGCTTCATTGTTTCGACGTTTTGCCCATGGGCTATAAAGGGGAATCATGAAAATGCCTAAAACTTTGTCATTTCTTGCCTGAATTGGATGATCGTTGCAAGGATGGTAGCCCCTTCTGAGGGCGTGAAGCCTGCCAAGTTTCAAGGAGTTGGGTGCAGAGGTTTCTCAGAAACTGCATCTCAAACGTCAAAAAGCAAAACTCATGACACTTGCTGGCAGCTGCAGCCTCTGTCATTGAGCGCAGATCTGGCAGCCCGCACCCCCGGGAGGGCTGCAAGGCCGTGCCAGACTCCTTCCCAAGGGTGCAGGCCCCTAGATCTGCACCAGATGACAGGAGGCTGCTGCTGCCACCTGAGACTGGTGGTGGGCACAGCCCACACCCAGCGCCAGGGAAGACTGATGCTGCTGCTGGCCCCAGGCAGCAGTGGCAGGCTCCCGTCCTCCGGGCCCGGGATGGGGGGCAGGGGGGCAGCTCTGCAGCCCCATGGAGCTCAGCCTGGTGGCAGGAGGTGGAAAGCAGCCCTGGCTCTCCCTGCCTCCCACTGCTGGGCTGCAATCCATGGGGCTGTGGAGCCACTTGGAGCACAGCCTTGGCTCTCCTCTGCCTCCTGCCACTGGGCTTCTTTGAAACTCAAAACGTTTAAAAATGTTTAGAGTGCTGTTGTTTTGTTTTGAAGCTGTTTCGAAGCTTTTTGTTTGGTTTCAATTTTGCTGTTTCAAGCTTGAAATGCATCAAAACAGCTTCAAAACAAAACACTCAGCAAAGTTTTGTACAGCCCTAGCGGGCAACATTAGATATGCTTGAGCTAGGGCTAGGATTTAGAGAGACCTAGAGAAATTGGAGGATTGGACCAAAAGAAATCTCATGGGGTTCAATAAGGAGAAGTGCAAAGGTTTGCACTTGGGAGGAATCCCATGCACCGGGACAAGCTGGGGACTGATTGGCTAAGAATGTGGACAGGTTGGAGAGAGTCCAGTGGAGGGCAGCAAAAAGGGTTCATGGACTGGGGCACATGGCTTCTGAAGAGAGGCTGGGGGAACTGGGCTTATTTAGTCTGAAGAAGAGAAGACTGAAGGGGGATTTAATAACAGCTTTCAGTTACCTGCAGGGAGGGGTTCCAAAGAGGTTGGAGTTGGACTGTTCTCACTGGTGGCAGATGACAGAATAAGGAGGAGTGGTCTCAAGTTGCAGCAAGGAAGTTTAGGTTAGATATTAGGGCGAAAAAAAACCTCTCATGAGGAGGGTAGTAAAACACTGGAACATGTTACCCAGAGAGGCTGTGGAATCTCTATCCTTGGAGGTTTTTAAGATGCAGCTAGAAGAAGCCTTTTTATGATATTTTTATGGAAGATTTTTGAGGGGGGCCAGGGAATATTGACTTATTGGACAATACAGCAAAAGTAGCTGTCTATAATTATGATTATTTCCAGTTATGATTGTGACTGACAAATTTTTAAACAGTATTTATATGAAACAACTTAATATACCTAAACCAATCATCAATAGTTTTGGTTTGCTTTTTTAATATGTCCAAATTATTTCCTGTTTCCACTAAGAATACAAAATCTATGCCACAGTATAAGAATTGCATACAGTAGCTAGACCAGACACAGTATGCACCCATAAAGCCAACAAAATACAGTGTATTGCTATGATGTATACAAAAAGAATAACCAAGTTCTCATCATAGTCATCCAGAATTATTCCATTTGATTCTAATTGCCCAAAATGAACTTCTAGTCTACTTTTGTAAACCTAGTTAAGCAGAACACAAATATTTTAAACAATTTTGCATTCAGAAGGAACTTCTGGTTATTCCTTTCCCTAATCAATATTTCTTGACTTGTGATATACAGCCCACTTCATGAGAGATGCATTAACGTATGCATGCAGCCCTAGAAGAATATTCACCTTGCATACTTGCTCCTTCTACGACAAGGCACTTTCTAACATTTTCATATGTGGCACTGACTTGAATATAGTAAAGAGTATATAGGTGACTTAAAAAATTACCCTAACACTCTACTCTGCCCATTTTATACACATCTAAACCTCTGCTGTGGGACTAGGCTTTTTGACAATAATTAAAATTTAGTGTTCAGGTATGTTTACATATAGAAAGAATAAGATAATGTGAAGAGTTGTGCTGGAAAAAAATCTTAAAAGTGGAGATTCTCAAGAATGTAAAATATTTTTAATTCAAGAACATCCCGATTCCAACGCTGAAAGAATTTGCAAAGGCTTTGGAAACCAACACTCATGTGAAGAAATTCAGCCTTGCAGCTACTCGAAGCAATGACCCTGTTGCTGTTGTAAGTTAAACTATTGTTTTCAGCCAATACTATATGGTTGGGAAGAGACAGGGGAAAAATCTGATTGAACTGAAATCTATTTGAAGGTCCTAGTAATTGGAAGATTATAACGATTTAATTCCCTTGTATTTGGAAGTAAAATATTGCTAAATGCACCCCAGCTGCATCTCATTGGGCAAGCACATTACCATGTCATGAATATGCCAGAGTGCCTTAACTACAATATAAATGAAACTTGGTACTCCAGCCTTTTTGTGCTTTCTATTTTGTGCGAGATTCCCAGGTAGACCTCCTTCCCTCCTAACAACTGATTCCCCCTTGCTTGGATGTCAATGCTTCATTCCAGGAACCAGTAATGTCTACAGAACTTGGTTTAAAGGAGCTCTTCTCTTAAAAAATAGAATTGTTAATACCTATATTATAAGATTCTATGCTGAACACAGTTTCTGTAGCAGGCAGATCAAAAAAAAAATATTTTGTAACATGTATTGACTTAATATTGATATTCTGTCCTAATTGTGAAATTTTAAATCAAGGTCGAGTCTCAAGATCTCTATTTGGTTGGTAAATAAACTCAAATGCTAGATATTTGTATTCTTTGCTTCTGTATATTTCCCCACCCCCCCATTAAGTTGAAACCTTTTATCCAGTAGTGCCTTGTTAACATTTCAAATAAATTCAAAATCAGACTTTCCTGCAAAATAAAGATCTCTGATTCTGCATTAAGTTTTTTTTTCATTTCAGATTTGGAACAGAAATAAATTTGAAACATCCTGTGAATAGTTTTAGAAAATTTCATTTTAGATTTATCAAAATAAGTTGTCAATTAAACCAAAGTATTTTATTCAAATTTCTGATCTCATTGTCGCTTGTATGTTTTATAATACATATTACATAAAACTATTGTAAAAACAAGTTTACATCTTACTGAAATGTTTGTTTTAATTTTTTTAGGTTTTGTCAAAAAGATTGAAAGGTTTCCATTTTCCACTGAAACCATTTTCTAACTAGCTCTCACCTTGGTGATTGACTTTAAAAGCCATTCTCTCTTGCATTTTCTTCTTTTAACAAATGGCAGACATAAGTATTCTGGAAGTTGTATTTGCTGCCTGTAAATCACTCAGATCTAATTTCATCTGCTGTGTGAACAGGCTTGTTATATCTTTCATTGTTTACTTTGAGCAGCTTTGTATTATTTCACTGGGCACCACAGAACTTTCTGCAAAGCTTACAAAGTAGATGTGGTCCAATATGCTAATTTCAGACTATTTATATTCTGTGTAGGTTCTATTTTGTAGCAAGTGAAGGACACAGACCCTTTAATTGTGTACTGTACCAGTGAAACTTGTCTACATTGGAGAAGGCTGGTTGTAGAGTCATCTTCCATTCTCAAAAGGCTGTAAACTTATGTGTTTACTTAAACTCCCACATTACCCCTGCATGTGTAGTTGATTGTAGTGTCACTTGTAATTAAATCGTAATGACCATTTCCTGCATTCCAAGGCTTTTGCTGATATGCTGAGAGTAAACAAAACATTGAGAAGTCTAAATATAGAATCCAACTTCATCACTGGAGCTGGCATTCTGGCACTGACTGATGCACTAAAAGAGAATGAAACCTTGACAGAGATCAAAATCAATAACCAGGTAAGTGAGCCAATCGTACGTTTATAGTTGCATTGCTGCAGACATGCTGTTTACCCTATGTGATACATTTGATGGAACAGATACTCATTTGTAATAGATTCACGTACATTTTTGAAGACAAGCTAAGTGTCCTATAGGATTTGATGTACTACTTTTTTATAACTTATTCATAAATCTTTGTTCCAGAGTGTTTTTTCTAGCCAGAAGCAGGGATGTTAAAAATGGACAATGTTAATCTGAAATAGGACAAAGCTGGAGGAAGAGATTAATTCATAAAGCTCCCATGCATCATCATTGATGATAAAGCGTGAAAGAGAGTGTCTGTGTATAGTGATGATCAAACAGTGTATTAGTCAGAATTGGCTAACTGGGAATCCTGCTGACCCCACAAAATAGAAATGCAATGGGAATTACATTTTAGCAGTGAAAGAAGCCAAGGGACCTTTAAAATCTAGGTAGAAATAAGAGGAGATGGATGAACAGTTGTATCATGTTACACTGCCTCCTTCCTCACCTTCTAGTGGAATGAAACTGGGTATTTGAAAGAGCCACAGCCTGGAAAGGGCACAGAACCTGGTACCTGACAACTGGAGCTGTAGAGAGCAAGGATTCAGCACAGACAGTTTGTTCAGTTCCTCCTGGAGCCTCACAGCTAATGTTATAGCCTTACAAAGGTCCAAGGCTAGTCATTTGATGAAAAGTGCCAACTCTCTCTCTCAAGTCTTGGGTGCTTTCTGTTGTGAGAGAATGGGGCAAGATACCATATTTACTCAAATAGAGTACACCCCTGATTATAAGACCCCCCCCCCCATAATTAGATTCCATATATGGAAAACATACATTTGTTACAGTTTTCCAGGTATAGAATCTAATTTTTTGGAGGTTTGCCTTGAATTTGTCCCCCTCCCACTGCTACAGCAGGGAAAATAAATCTGGGTAGCCCTTTGCTCTCTGCTTCCCCCCAGTTTTTTTCCGACAGTCCCTTCCCCTCTCCATACTATAAGACCCTGCTCTCCCTGAGCATATGAAAGTAAGGAGCAAATTTGAAAACAATAACCTTGAAATTAAGCATGGCAGTAGTGATTTGCCTATAGTTACTTATAGACTGTTTATCCAGAATTGATGCATGTTACCTCTTTTGAAAACTGCTGGAAGTTTTAGCACAGGTACTCCACAAACACTTTTTAAAAAGCACTTCGGCAGCCACTTGTACACTACAGTACAAACTATGCATGATATTAGTCCAGAGGCAAAGGCTTGTGATTTTACCACGTACTTCATTGGGCTGGGTCCCACTAGAGTCAACAGCATTTCAAACCACAGTGACCCCACAGCTCAGCACTGCTTAGTATGTGTGTGTGTGTACTCCAGATTCTCTCCCCTGCCTGCTCCCCAGCCAAGGATCCACGTGCTAATTAGCCCCCACTCATGACTGGACCCGGGTGTTCCTGTCAAGTCCTGGCATGCTTCAAAGATTTATATGCATGAGGTGCAGGGCAACCTGATCAGGCTTCACCTCATGGAGGGTGGAGGCACATTAATCATATGCACCGGGGCTGAGAGGGTGGTGACAGAGGCATTCTGAGTGAACTGTACGCAGTGTTGTGATGCAGCATGATGAGAAAAAGAATCAGCGGTCATGGGGACTGCATGCAATGGGCACTACCATATGTTTTATTCATATGGGCTGCACTAGGTTCCCATCAGCATGTTTGCCCAATGTGGGCCAGGTGTCTTATAGTCAAACTCAGTGTTGGCTGCATGACTGCATTTAATTAGTTTCATAGTTGGTTTCCATTGTTAAGCACATGCTGCTTTTGACAGCAGTTTAATGATAGACAATGTATTTAGTGAGATTCCCTTGTATGTGATTATAAGAAGACCGGCTCTTTCTCTCCATGCCAATGAGTGGGGAGGGGAGGTGTTGAGGACCTCATCTTGTATTCAAGTAAATATGTGTTTGTCATTCTTCTTTCCTAACTTCTGCCAGCTGCAGGAAGCTCTTGTGTGGTTCTCCAGCCCCATACTTTCAGTATCTGGGCAGGCTTGTTTAAAATGTCTTGGCTAAAATGCTAACTAACACCTTTGGAACTTGCATGTAGACAGGACAAACTATTCTGGCCTGCATTAGCGGTCAGACAACATTAGGGCCAAGCCTAGGACTGACCATGACCATCTAATGCTTGTTAAGGCATATTTTGCTTTGTCAGCAATGAGGTTTTAAAACACATTAGCTAATACCTTTTTCTCCCCTCTCACCCCCAAGTCTAGACAGATTCTTGTCAGATTGTGAAATGAGGCTTATTATGCCTGTTTTCTAGAGTGTTGTCCCTAGGGCTCCTATACATTTCCACAGATAAAGCCATAACTTTATTTCTTTCTGAAGCATCCTTATTGGGGAGCTGGGCTCCAGGCCCTTTCCAAGTGGGAAGCATGGAAAGTTGAAGGTAATTGCCCTGTAGATGTCATTGCTTGGAATCAGGAGTGCTAAATATGTTATTCTGTTAACTGTTCCTGATGTACTTTAAATATTGATTTGACTGAATGTTACACAGGCTGTAACTTCAGACTGTTTTCATTGATTGAAGATAGTTTTAGCCCAGAACAGTCATGTCTACCTAGATAGACAGCATTAGAAATTCCAGAGGAAAACATTAGGAATCATCAAAAAATCCCATAACTTAATAAATAATTTGAGGTCATGGTTCTTATGTCTTAATGAAAATGGTCAGTCCTTTTTCTTCTTAATTTTGTGTTCTAAATAAACTTCAAACTTAGTGTTCTAAGCAAGTAGCACTTTATCAGAGACTCCCCATTATATTGCATTTTTAAAAGAAAGAGATTGCACTTACTCTTCAGTTGTGACAGCAGTAGGAGAGACCTTGTTTTTACTGAGTAAGCAATACATGGGCGGAATAGGTCCTACAAATTTGAATAACCTTTCCTTTCTTTTCCCTTTGTGATGGTAGCCTGGCAGGTCCAGAAAATGTCTAAAGGGCACTACCAACAACTATAAACTAGATAGCATGGGACCAATGTTCCCTCTAAGCAGTAGCAATCCATGAGTGCGCCGCCTCAGTCTGGCATGGGACACTTATCAAAGGGGGCTGGTGGCTGGGGCCGGGGGACTGGAGGGAGGTGCCAGAGGCTGGGGCTGGAGCCGAGGGGCTGAGGCCAGGGGCTGGGGCCTGGCATGTGCTCCGCCAGCTCCGGGGAAGTGTTCCGCTCCCCCGCATCAGGGCCGGGGAGTGGAGCACTTCCCCAGAGCCAGTGGAACCTGTCCCAGCCCCCCACCCCAGCCTCCACCCCTCCCTTGCCTCACCTCAGGGAGGAGGCGCTGCTTGCCCTGAGTGAGGCTCTGCTGGCTCTGGGACACTGCTCCGCTCCCCCGCATGGCCTCGGGGGGCGTCCCGGAGCCGGCAGAACTGCATTTGGGGCAGACAGCGTTTCTCCCTGAGGTGAGGCAAGGAAGGGATGGAGGCTGGGGCGGGCTCTGCAGGCAGTGGGGAAGCGCTCCATTCGTGGGCCCTGATGCGGGGTAGCGGAGCGCTTCCCCAGAGCCAGTGAAGACCGCCGCAGGCTCTGGCCCCAGCCTCTCAGCCACACTTTTTTAGTTGTGTGCAGCCACACTTTTTTAGTTGTGTGCAGCCGCGCACATGCGCGCCTTAGAGGGAACCTTGCATGGGACTCTTCCTGACTGCACAGTGCCCATAAGGATACACAAGAACTTGGGCAAGCTTGAGATGGGTACAAACAACAATGTGCAGAAAGGGGACTAGCTCTGGGAAGGAGAAAGATGGTGTGTAACTGATGAAAATATATGAAAGTGGGACTACTCGTCTAGGTGTAAGTTTTTAAAAAGGAAATAAAAACAAATGCTCTTAAAGTTGGTGCCAAGTTGCTATAGGGACTGGTGCTCTGAAGTACATAGAAACACCTACACTATGAACTTCTCTGATCAAAACAGAAATTGCTATCTAGAAGTGAAACATCTTCATCATATAGTTATTTCCTGTTTAAAAAAATAAAAAACTAATATTGAAATGTTAATGTTTGTTAACAGAGGCAGCAGTTGGGACAACCTGTAGAAATGGAAATTGCCAAGATGCTTGAGGAGAACACACAGATCCTTAAATTTGGATACCAGTTCACACAACAGGGACCACGGACCAAGGCAGCTGCAGCTATCACAAAAAATAATGATTTGGGTAAGACCAGTCTGTAGAGAGACTGATGAATGACCTTATCGGCACAGGAGTCAGGGTAGTTTTGCTTTGCATTTTAGTGGATTTGCTCAGGATAAAAAGATGCAGGTAAAACTTTCAGTTTTCTTCTGCACTTGAGTCTTGCTTTCATTTATGCTGTTTCTTCCTCTTACTCGCTTCTAATGACATCTCTGTGTCTCTAGGCTGGAGTCCAGAATTCTTCTGGCGGTAGCATCAAAAATGAGAATTCCAGATAAGGTTTAACTAAAAAGAGCATGCTGATCAGTTAAACTCGCATTTGGTTTGGGCCAGAATAAGTTTAGCATTTTCTTAAAAGGCCACTGTGAAATTGTGAGTTAAAAAGTGTAGCCTTCTCTCTCTCTTCTTTTCCACTTCACCCCATTGTTTATTACTCCAGTTGGGAGACTAATCCAGTCCCTGGTACCAGGATACATTTCTACAGAAGGCTAACCAACTCGGTGAGAGATGAGAACTCAAGTCACTCCTAAAAGAGTACTCTAGAAATGTGAACCCTCTAGCTATAAATCAAATGAATATGAGAAGTGTGGTTAAAATAGGAATGCCTCTTTACCTTTTTCACTGTGTACAGTCTAAATTCCTGGTTAGAGAGATGCACCATGATGCAAGAGAGGCCATGAGCCAGGCAGCTTAGAAGATGTTGCACAAGAACTTGAGGGGGAAGTGAGGGACCATTGTTTAGGGCCCATGGTGTAGAAAGCTTGGAAATGAGTCAAGAGATGCCGTTTGAGGAAAGCTAGCCTGAGGGTGGTAAGGTTGCTCTAAGAGAGGCAAGGAACGAAGAGGAGGCATAGGAGAGACCTCAGTTGAAGGATACAGGAAAGCTTTATAAATACCTCAAGAGAGCCTAGATTTTGAAGCCAGCAGTTGGATCTTTTTCTCTTATTTTAAGTGCTGCTCTGCTTGTCTTGAACTTCCCTCTTTTTTTCTATGAGTTCTTATTTCAGCATTTAATTATTGGAAATCTATTTTTATATTCTCTTTTGATATCTTGCCTTTTTTTCCCTCTTGCTTTCTTAGTCTGGAGTGTGCAAGTAAAAATTTCTGCAAATGCCCTTTCATCTCTCCAGCCCTGAAGCTACAGACAGGTTATTGTGAATACCCATTTGGGTATCGAGCACTGAAACTGTGATGTTTAAAGTCTCGCATCACTGTCTTTGTATGTTTCTTCTGAAAAATTAAGTAGACTTTCTGTCATGAATTTGTGCTGTACTGCACCCTGTTTTTGTTTGCTTGAGATTTCTGTACAAATCAGTTTTAACTGCATGACTGGAGAAGTCAGTAGTGTGAATGAACCATCCATTTTTGCAATCTAACTAGAAACGGATATTAATGAAATGTACAGTAATCAGTTTTTACTGTAAAACAAACATACTCCAGTCATTCAGTGAACCCAGCATATTGTTCAACTCTAAACACCATGTGATCTTTATTAACTTTACTCACTAATCCTGTGTTGCTTTTGTAACATCATTTCAGGAGGTCTGCAAACCAATTCACTCCTTTAACAATTAACTGAAGATTTTATCAAGTTGCTGAACATATCCTAAGATTTTTTTCACTAAATGTGTGGTATCTTGGGGCATATTACAAAATTACTGTGTTCACTATTGAAGTACAATCACTAATTAAAACTATAATTCACCACCTCTTAAGTTTGCTTACTAGACTAGAGTGTTGCAAGATTAACACTTTTTATTTTTTACTATACAAATATTTTATGGTATTCATAGGTATCAGAATATAATATTCCAAGTTGCTAATGAATAAATTCAAAATCCTGGGTAATTAAGTGTTGTTTAATAGGGCTGTGCAAAACAGCATCGTTCCATTTCAACTTCCATTTCACTATTTCAACGGGACAGTGTTTTGTTTTGAGTTTTGTTTCGTCAAAACTGTTTCGCCGTTTCAACGTTTTGCCCATAGGCTATAATGGGGAAGCACGAAATGGACTATAACTTTGTCAGTTCTTGATTGATTCGGATGAAACTTGCAGGAATGGTAGCCCCTTCTGAGGCCACGAAGCCTGTCAAGTTTCAAGGAGATTGGTGCAAGGGTTTGTGGGGAAACTACATCTCACGCTGCTGACAAGCAAAACTTGTGACATGGGTGACAGAAAGCAGGCCAGTTCAAACAATTCTGCTTTTTATTCAGTTTCCCCATCCCTTCCCCAGAGCACTGGGATTGGAAGGGACATCAGGAAAGAATCATAGTCACTGGCCAGCTATACATAGTCGATATCAAAGCAGTCCTTCCCCGTCTTCCCCCTCCCTCTCCTTACTTTGTTTCCGTGCAGGCAAGCTCAGCTTGAGCTTCGAGCCTCAAAATGTTTCGAAACTTTCTAAATGTTTTGACTGGCCTCATTTTGTTTCGAAGCTGTTTATTTCGTTTAGCTGTTTCAAGCTCGAAACTAGTCGAAACAGCTGGCAAAATTTCGCACAGCCCTATTAATTAACTATTTGGTTTGACCAGTAGTGGTTAGCTTGGGTATTGGTGTCTTATGGAAATCCTTAAAGAAGTTACAATTGAAATGTGTAATTTTGTTTTTATTTTCTTATGGATGCAGTTCGCAAGAGAAGGATTGAAGGAGACCATCAATAAATCTTGCTGCTGCCAGAATGGATTGTGTGAAGATGTCATAGATCTTCAAGGCTCATTGTAGGCTTGGCAGTCTCTGACTTCATTTATCTGGGTAGAAGGGAAAAGACTGGAAACCCCATTCCTTTTTTGTAAAATTACATTAATTATCTGTGTGGTATGCATCACATTTCTCAGTTTCAGGCATAGTACCTGCACCTGACTGTGCAGAGATCAGGTTTTTTAAAAGAACTTTTTTATATTTCAAGACTTCCTACTATACTTTTTGCTAAAATGATGTAAATTCAGAAATCAATGGAGTGGTTGTCTATTCAGAGAATGCCACATGAAGGATCAGTGGGTAAATAACAAAAACAATTGGAGTATGTTTCTGATAGAAAAGCTAGGGTGGTTATTTAAGTGGAAGGATTTGTATATTTTTTTTTTTTTTAGAACAATGGTTTAGTGAAAAGGGATTCTTCATGCAGAACAATTGGGCTGTTTGTAGCTATTCAGCCTTGTTCATATGAACTTAAAGATTAATCTTTCACAGCTATCACAGTTGCAGTTCTACTATTTTTTATGTTCTTGATCAGGTTAAAATGCTTTAGTACTGTGATTAAGCTTGAAAGTTGTCTGTTTTTAAAACAAAATTAATTGGATAAGGACGTCTACTTTTTTTCAACATTCAGGAAACTAATATAAAGTGAAGGTGCCTTGAAAAATTGACAGTGTCTGTACTAAACCAAAAAGCCTCCAAAACAGCTTATGTTGGAAAATATTCTGAGACTGTACTTTGCTCTGATGTGTCTAAACTGAGCTTTAGATTTGATTTTTGTATGTTCCTCAGCATTGTTTAGGGTATAGCATTCTTTCTTTAAAAATATCTATATCTAAATATAGTAAAAGGCATAGGAGTTTTCTAGAAGTAGTGGACATGCATTCTTTAAGAAATGCTGGCTAGTGGGTGCTGAAAAAGCAATCTTACGAACTGTAAAAATCCTACGGTCCCTGGTGGTAGTTAGTTGGTTATTCTGTTTGTTAAACTAAAATCAGTCATACTTCCTTCCATATAAAATGGTGACAACTGTATCAGACAAGTTTTCGTCTGTCACAATGATAAAAGGTCTTTCTGTTCCACTGACTTATGGTCCTATTGTCATGATGTAAACTATGCTGAAACTTACTAGTTCTAACAAATTTCTAATGTGTTGGACAGTATATTCACAATATTATTCGAGACCATTTATTGAAGATAGGCATTTAGTCAAATGTGTCACTGTAAATGTTGTCAAGTTCTATATCTTCAAAAACTAACTGGGTGACAAAAGTCACTTCACTTTTAGTACTAAATAGAAGTGGACTTTTTGAGGGTATTGTGAAATTTAAATAGTTTTTACTTGTGCTGTTTTTTGAATTGCACTGTATGAAATGCTACAATGTTGCCCATTATGCCATAAAAGTAGAAGCACATTCTAAGGAACCAGACAACTACATTTATAGTGGCACACAATTCAAACGTTGTAAGTGTCAATATTCTTAAAATGATCATAATTATGGTGAGTTTATATAAACTATGTATTGGGGATGTGAAAGAAAAATGTCTAGAACAGATTTATGCATCATATTTGGAGAAATTTACACTAATTGTGCCCACATGTTCTGTTATAAATCACATTTTTTAGGTTTGCTCTTCTTTTCTCTGAAAATGACTTTAAACTTGTGGCATGTGTACAATGACTTTTAAGCTATGAACCTCCAATGAAGATGTAAATACCTAGGTTTATAAGGGTAGAAAAAATAGCGATTTTTGTGGTTCATTCTAAATGAACCTATTATAGCCTAGATAGCTATGTAATCTTGCAAGAATGAAAAGGAAGTTGGGACAATTTCTATTAAAACCAAAGATATCTTACATTCGCACACTGCTCAGTAGCCAGAAATTATGTTATTGGTCATAAAAAGAGTGCTCCTTTTTGTCTTTTGGCTTACAGTAATTTACATAATTTAAGAGGTCTTTGAAAGATGCTGTTCTGAAGTTTGAGTTCATAAATATTTGCTTCCAAACATGAATTAAAAGCTAAGTGTCTTTTCAAGAAATGGTGCTGTACAGATGTGGCCAAAGCATAGTATACATGTAACCTGTCTCAAACTATGTTTAAGGTGCCTAATTTATAAAACACCAAGTAACCATTTTGTGTCAAATAATCAAACTGTAAAACTTTCCTTCTGTCTGTTTGAAGGCGCTGCATATCCCTCAAATCTGTTCCTGTTATTTGTTTGATCAACAGTTATGCAAATTTGCTAGCTACTGTATATTCTAATCCAGGTGGAAAATGATACACTGGGATGGACTGGGTAATGAAAAATTAGTCTGTTGCCTGTTTGAATTAAGTCTGGCTCCTTTATGGTCTAAGTACAAATCAGTGGCTTAGGATAAAGTGGTCAAGAGTTTTGTTATAATTAAAGTAGCAGACCACCTTGTGCCAGCCCTTACTAGTGTAACCAGCATAATCCTATTGAAATAAATAGGTGCAGCTCCGTAGACATCCACTGAGCATTTGGCTACCCATTGGCAATCTAAGCAGAGAAAAGTCAGACAGATTGGACATGGAGAATAAACTATTTGGCCATAGAGGATTATCCCTTCAAGTTAGGTTTGAGGCATTTTTGGCAGGGGAACAGGGAGAAACTTCAATGTTTGCTGCCTTTCATGCCTGTGGTATACCTTTTCTGGGGATAAATGAAGGTAGGAATCTAGCTTCCAGTGAGTAACCATAAACAGACTCAGAAAGCAGAGCTAACTTTCAGATTTACTGGTTTCAAATATATAGTAAAGACTTGAGTATGATAAGTACATATGGTATTGATTTTTGTAATAAATTAGCATATATACTGGGCCTGTTTCCCAAAAGACATGACATTTGTGTGCTTTTTAAGCTTGATTCTTGGTCAAGTAACTTCAGTTTTGAAAATAGGCATTAATCTTGGAAAACAATCAAATGACCACATGTTTTGTTGTTTGTCTTGGGTTCTATCCTCAAGGAAGAGAATCATGGACTGAATATATTCCCAAAACCTTTTGTAAACTCTCTTCTTCCAATTGCACTCTAGAGAAATGGTCTCATTGTCTCCACAGCTTTTTTGGTATGTATAATATTGTTTGTAAGCTACAAACAATGGGCTGTTCAATTTAAATTTCCATGAAGGAAATGCAAATTGAGTATGTCAGCATATCAGCACTCTATGCTGTTGAATTGTAATACAGTAAAATGTCTGAAGAATCAAAATACGGTTTGGTTTGGTTTTTTAATAGTATTCAGAAAGGTGAATCTTGTATGTGCTTCAAGCTATTGCTGGTATTTGTCATGTGGAAAGTATTAGTTTAGTGCATGGCAGAAAAGAGCACTGACTAGTATAAAATGTCCATAGTAATAGTGATAAACTACTCTTAACCCAGTCCAAACATTTAAGCCAGTGGCTAGATATAAAAATCTTAATTACTTTCTGCTGGTTCAACTTATATAGCAGCACAAAGGTTGTAGCCTTTCCCTAGACATTGCAAACAGTATGTTCCACTACTTTCCATTTCTCCAAGGTGCTTTATCATGGCAGGGTGTGCTAGGCAGGGAGCGGGGTTGGGGGACCCAGCTGAGGTGAAACATCTTTTTCAGTACAGCTACTACCCCTTTAGACACTGGCAGAATCAGTTTGCAACTTGAAATTGCACAAATACATAGGCATAGTTGGATTCGGCTTTTTATCAATAAACATTGATCAATGGCAATTCCACCGCACGGTCCCAGACTGACGGAAAAATATTTCCCGTGGCAATAATCAAAATTAACATAAAAGTGACTGTAACAAGGAACCCTTACCCCTGTTACTGGCCAGTGGAAAAAAAGATGCGGAGGGACAGTGTGGAGAGGTTAAATGGGAAAACAGTGGATGGCCTGATGACCAGGGATCCTGGTTTTCCCTGATAAAAAGTCACAAATTCTCTGCTAAAAAATGTCATGTTCTCTGTTAAACCCCATCAAATCTATGATTAAAATAACCCAACCCCCACCCTGGTCCTGCTGGTGCCACTCACATTCTCCCCACTGCCCCCCCCAGCCCTCCCAGAGGGGGTCCCTGGCTGCTAAGGCTACAGGGTCCTGGCTCTGGGTCCGCAACCAGGCAGGAGGCGGTGGCTGCTGCAGTAGAGTGGAGCCCCCTGCTGTGAGCTTGGGCAGGGGAGGCCAGCTCCCTGCTGCTGCACGCACTCTCCAGGGGGCAGGGGGCTCCACATGACCCCCCAGATCTAAGCACCAGATGGGCTGTGTGATGGGGGGGGGCTCTGTGGCACTCTGCGCACTCCCCAGGGGGCAGGAGGGACCCATGCCCCCTGATCTGTGCATGGGGCAGGCACAGGCTGCGAGCTCAGGCTCTCACCCTGCTGCCCTACCCTGGGGCCTCTGCAGCCCAGCGCACATAACCCAGCACAGCAGGGCTGTGTGGAGAAGCTGCCTGCCACTGGCGCTGCTCTGGCTGGCAACATGCTTCCACGCATGGCTGCAGTGAGGGCAGCAGCACAGCGTTGCACCAATCAAAGCTGCCCCGCACACAGTGGCGGCGTCATCCAGACAGCATGGAGCTTGTAACAGCAAGCAACTTCTCTGCGTGGGCCTGCTGTTCCCAGCTGCACTGGGTTGTGCCCACTGGGATGCAGAGGTCCCAGGGAAGGGCAGCAGGGCAGGAGCTTGAGCCCACAGCCCATGTCCTCCCCCACTACCTGCCCCATGCACAGATCTGGGGGGGTCACAGATTCCCCCTTGCCCCTTGGGATTGCATGCATCACTGGGGAGCCAGCCCCCCTCATCCCCCTCCCCTCCCCTCCCCACCTCCCCGACAAGCTGCCCACAACCCTGTCCCACTTTCCACTGGGGCCCTGCAGCAGCACATTGCAGCCCCAAGCCCCATGCACCACCTGGCTGGGCAGCAGCCCCAGCCCTGACCCCACGGGAACTCAATACCTTCCCCCCCAACCTACTTACCTGCAGGAGCTGCTCTCCAGGCTGCCTGGGGCTATGTGCATGATGTACATACACATGGTGTCCCCTGCCTGACCTTTCTCCTGCTCCCTCCCAGGCCCCTGCAGGCTGGAACTGTGCCAGCCTGCAGGGAGCTCATCGCAAAACTGCAAAATCTGTGGGCTTCTCCGGTAAAATGAGAAATCTGCGTTTGCCTCCGGTAAAAGGTAAAATCTGCAGCTTACTCCATTTTTTCGTGGGAAATGGAAAACCTGGGTCTCTGCTGATGACACCTGGTTTCACAGGTGTCAGAAGTGGGCTGAAGGGAGATAACAGACTACTTAAACCCTTGCCCCAAAGCCCATGGG